GCACCCCCAGTCGCAGCACCCCCAGACCCAGCACCCCCAGGCTCAGCACCACCAGCAGCACCAGAGTCAACAGCTACCTCGACTGGCTCAACTGCATCTACCTGGGACACACCTGAGGGAGCAGGACCCTGAGGGGGGAGGGGGTCTACCGGAGGGGGACCTGGTGTAAGGAAGAGCGGCGGGGGAGGGAGGGACGCAGTGCGGTAGGGGAAGAGACGGTAGTAGGGAACCGACTCGTCAAAGGTGACGTCCTGGGACGCGAAGACACGGCGCGAGGTGGGGTGGTAGAACTGCCAGCCTGGCGCGTCAGGGGGAAAGCCAAGGAAGACGCAGGGAACAGCACGAGAGGACAGCTTGTCCGCAGACAAGTCGCGGACAAACGCCCTAGATCCCCAGACCCGGAAACGCGACGCATCACCAACCTTCCCCGTCCACAGCAAAGCAGGGGAGGTCTCCGGCATGGAGACCCGGGGGTGAAGGTTGAGCTGATGCGCCGCGTACCGAACCGCAAACGGCCACAGAAAATGGGGAGCAGCCGCATGGATCATGGACGTACGAGCGACGTCCATGACCATGCCGATGCGGCGCTCAGCAATCCCATTTTGCTGCGGAGAGTCCGGAAGCGTGAAGGTCTGGCGGATGCCTCGTGCGCGACAGAAGGTCCGCAGAAGGTCAGAGGAGAACTCTCCGCCTCGGTCGGAGTGCAGACGCCGAACAGGAAAGTCGGAGCCGAAACTCTCCTGGAGCTGGAGACGAGCCGCGCGGATCCAGGCGATCAACACCTCAGTGACGTCACCCTTGCTGCGCAAGGGGAAGACTGCGGTGTAACGCGAGTAGTCGTCAACCACCAGCAGGAAGTAGCGCTCCTGACCCTGCCCACGGACGCGGGCTGGGCCCCACACGTCCATGTGAAGCGTCTGCAGCGGAGCCTCTGTCGGAGGAAACTCGGAGGAGTGAGGAGCAGCGCGCTGCCGCCCCTCGACGCAGGGAACGCAGGTGGGGGCAGGCCCCGGAGGAAGGGGAGGGAGGGACCGGGGGAGACCAGAAACAAGAAGACGGGAAGCCATGCCTCGAAGGCGAGGCAGGGAGGGGTGACCAAGACGGTGGTGCCAGAGGAGAGTCCGGTGAGACAGGAGACGACACGAGCAGGGGGCAGACTCAGGACCAGACCTGGACGCCGCAGCAAACACCTGACCCGACGCGGCTACCTGAGCAGACTCAGTGACTGGAGGAGACTCAGTAGTCAGTGTGTACAGGCTCGACCCCGGCCGACGAGTAAACGTGGCCAAGTGTCGGCCCGTGTCCGCACAAGTGCAGTGGGTCACCCGCTGACGCGCAGGGGTGAACTGGTCAACTCCTGCATCCTGGAGGTCAGCACCCGCCACCAAGTTCGTAGAGAACGAGGGGAGGTAGAGACCCGACAGGGAGCCAGACGGGACCGCTGGACACGGTAGGACAGTGGAGTAGTGAGCAAGGACAGGACCCCCAGAGGGGTCCGCCAGGGAGACCGCAACAGGCCGACTGAGCGGTGTGAGAGTGGTGCAGTCTCGAAAGAAGGAGCGGGAAGCACCCGAGTCAAGGGTGAAGGTGTGGGTGTCCGGTGACGACGCAGCACCTGAGAGCGCAAACTCACCGGCACCTGGGGCAGCAGACGCACTGGCACCTAGAGCAGCAGCCTCACAAGTACCTAGCGCAGCAGCCTCTATGCCTGGGTCAGGCGGGAAACACCGGTAACAGTCACCCTCATCACTAATAGTCACAGCATACATGGCAGCAAGAATAGCATCAAAATCAAGATCATAGATTGCAACACCCGCCCTAGACAGCTCGCCCCAGCGAGGGATCTCAGTAGCGTCGGGGAACTGGTGGCGCCACGCGTCTGTCAGACGGCCGAAGCAGCGCTGGGTGGGGTGCGCGCCCCCACACTGCTCACCCGCCCGGTCGCCGGTACGGAGAACGTAGGTACAGGGGCCAGCACCCCCGCCCCGCTGACGAGCAGCGTACCACTCACGAAGCTGCTGGGGGGAAGGGGTCTCACGGGTACGCTGCTGCTGCTGCTGCTGGCGCGCACCACCACCGGAGCCACCCCTCTGCGCAGCGCCACCCCGACCAGCTCCGCCGCCTCCGCCGCTACCTCCTCCACTACCGCCACCTCCGCCACCTCCGCTCCCACCGCCACCGCCGCCTCCACCTCCACCTCCAGTCCCGCCACCGACGCCCCCACCCCCGCCACCACCCCCACCGCCACCCCCACCCCCTCCACCACCTCCACCTCCGCCTCCACCGCCCCCGCCAGCTCCTCCAGCACCCTTGCCCCCCTTGCCCTTGCCAGGGCGGCGTCTCCCGCTAGGGGCAGACGCCGCAGCGACCGACTCAAGACCAACGAGGTCGGCCGCAGCAGCAGAGGCAACAGAGGGCAAGAGGGGAGAGGGGGAGCACCCCTCAAAGACAGGGGTACGAGGGTCACCACGAGAGGCACCTACTGCGACTATGCTCTTCTCTGCCGCGAGCAGGCGCTCCTCGAGGAGGTCAACGGTGAGGGTGGTGGGGCAAACAGAGAGGAAGTGGTCCCTAACCGGGCGAAGGGTGTCAGGGAGCCGGGTGACGATATAGTAGAGGGTGATGTACATGGGGGGGGGGGGTTCTTGGCGCAGAACTCAGCAGGAAGCGCAGCGCGGTAGCGAGTGTCACTAGTGCGGAGGTGCGTAATGAGGTCAGCGACAGTGGGAAAAGCGGCGAGGTCAGGGAAGAGGTACGGCAGGATGAGGCGGCTAAGCGCAGCAGTGGCAGGGGAAGAGTAGCGTGCAACTACAGCGTCGTACAAGGTCTTAGCACTCTTGTACTGGCTAAAGTGCGCACGCTCAGCGGTCGGCAAGTGGCGGCGCACAGCAAGGCGGGCAGCAGCATCGCGCGTGGCCCACTGAGAGCGAACAGTGGGGTCAGCATCAGCAGCAGGGGCAGGAGATGCATGAGAAGTGAGGTCAAAGAGAGAGAGGCCGTCTGCTCTGTCGCTCAGTAGGAAAAGCTGCAGGTCATCTACCCAGACGTCAAAGTCAATGGCCCGACCCTCAGCATCAAAAGTGAGGACACTGGGGGAAGCCATGACAGCAGTAGACGAGCAGTGAGAGCAGCAGGCAAGGGCAGAGCAGTGGCGGAGGCGCTGCTCTTACCGGGCAGGCGAGAAGGACCGAGGCGCGCCGGCGGGAACAGGGCCACGACGGCAGGAACGGCGGCTCGGCGGCTCAGCGGCTCGGCAGCTCAGCGGCAGTGGCGTCGCAGCGGCTCGGCAGCACGGCGGCAGTGGCGGCTCGGCTGCTCGGCAGCACGGCGGCAACGGCGGCACGGCGGCGTCTGCAGCTCAGCGGCAGCGGCGGCTCGGCGGCGTCGGCGTCGCGGCGGCTCGGCTGCTCGGCGGGGCTGCGAGGGTGTGGCGACGGGGCCGCAAAGGGCGGCGGTGGGGTCGCACGGGTGGGGCGACGGGGTCGCGGGCGGCTGCGACGGAGTCGCGGGCGGCAGGGACGCGAGCGGCTGCGACAGCAGGGCCGCGGGCGGCTGCGGCGACGGGGTCGCGGGCGGCCGCGGCGAAGAGGTCGCGGGCGGCTGCTGCGACGAGGCCGCGGGCGGCGCGAAGGGCGACGGGGCCGCTACGGGCGGCGGGGTCGCGAGCGGCAGAGCCGCGAGGGGCGACGCCGGGGTCGCGAGGGTGGGGCCGCGGGGTCGCGAGGGTAGGGCGACGGGGCCAGAGGAGGCGGCGCCGGGGCCACTAGGGCGACGCGACGGGGCCGGAAGGGCGGCGCGACGGGGCCGCTAAGGGCAGCTAGAGGGGAGCGCGACTCGGGCAGGGGCGGAGCGCGCTCCGGGCAGGAAAAAAAAGGTTGGTGGGCCCTAGGAACAGTTCCCACGAGGGAACCTGCTCTGATACCATGTGAAAGTTAGAACGAGAATGATGGATGACTAAGAGGAATGAGAGTACAAATGTGAAACCCTAGAGTTCTGTACCCTCTAAGGCTAAACCCACTGTAGCCTACAAAGCTACAACATGCATAATGTTTGACAGACTTGGGGTCACCCAGCAGTGGATAACGTGCTCCCACTTAGGGCTACTTTTCCGTTTGAAGGAGGTCCCCTAATGTCAAGGTAATTGTATGTACGTAAACATTTGGACAAGAATATAAATACCTGAGCATATTACAATACGGAACTGCTAAACGCAGCAGTGGGTCAGTCCACAAATCACGTGGCACCCTGTTTTGCAGTGATGTACGTGCTGTACTGCTTATGCATGGAAGTACGGTACCCTTTCAAGCTGGGTCGGGGTTCCCTATTTTGCACTCTCGTTTTAAATACGGTAATTAACAGACTGCATCTACTGTATTGCAAGTTCCGATCCAAATTTCACTTAACTCATATAATTATGACTACTACTCAATGCCACAGCTTATGCGTTTGCTAGTTAGCCTAACTTGTTCAGCCCGACTATAGCACAAGCCCAAGCACCCTAGCTCCGATATATCGTGGCTTGGCCTATCCTCGCGGGAATTGAGTCCTTATCCAAACAGCTGCACCCAAAGATATCCAGCCACTTGAGCCTTGAAAGGTGAGTGATCGACCCTGGTAAAGCCAGCAGCCCCTCACAGTCCCTCAGATCCAACTCCCTTAGCCTCGGCAAATAGCCGATGTCGCCTGGAAGGCTTTTCAGCTGGATACAGCCCTTGAGGTAAAGCCCTTCCAGGCGGGCGAGTGAGGAGAGGGAGGGGGGGAGGGAGGTGAGGGAGATGCACTCTTGGAGGTTGAGGGAGCGGAGGTGGGAGAGGGAGGAGAGGCGTGGGGGGAGGGCGGAGAGGGAGGAGCAGGAGGCGAGGTGGAGGCGGCTGAGGGAGGAGAGAGAGGAGAGGGAGGAGGGTAGGGAGGAGAGGGAGAGGCATGAGTCCAGCTGCAGGTCTCTCAGGTTGGTGAGATGGAGGAAGAAGGAACCGTGGGAGGCAGTGGAAGGGGGTGCCATGAGGGGGAGAGAGGAGGAAGTGGAGGAGGAGGAGGAGGAGGAGGAGGAGGAGGAGGAGGAGGAGGAGGAGGAGGAGGAGGAGGAGGAAGAGGAGGAGGAGGAGGAAGAGGAGGCACAACCACAGCAGCCAGAGCCGCTACCAGCGGCAACCGCACCAGAGGGGAGGTCAGGCAGGGAGGCGAGTTTGAGGGATCCGGTGAGGCAGAGGCGGGTGAGGCGGGAGAGGGAGGCGAGGGAGGGCGGCAGGGCGGAGAGGGAGTCAAAGCCGCTCACCTCCAGCTCCCTCAGCTGTGCCAGCTGGCCCATGCCGGGGGGGAGAGCGAGGGGCGGCGTGGGGAGGAAGGAAGAGAAGGGCTCGAGGGCAGAGGAGGGGGTGTCGGTTGCATTGGATGGGATAAGGGCAGGTAAGGAATCGGGTGACAGAGGTGTGTGTGAGTGGGGATTAGGGTGCAGGTGGTTGTGTTGCTGAGGGTGTGACTGTGCTACGATAAACCCGTTACTGCCTCCGTTGCAGCTGCTGTTTGTGCTCGTGCTGTTGCCGTTACCATCATAATTACTGCTGTCGCCGCTGCTGCCGTTGCTGCTGCTATCTGTCTCTGTGCCACACCTGGTGTCACTGCGGGCCGGTGACATACAGGTTGGGATGCTGTGTGGTTTTCCTGCATCCCCCCTTTCACCCTCACCAGCTATACCACCACTCTTTCGAGTGCTACACCTGTCTGCAGTGCATTCCGTAATTTTCACACAGCCATGTCCACTCTCGCTGCTGCTGCTGCCACCATCCATGCTACCATCTACGTCCACCCCCACCCCCGCCCCCACCCCCGCCCCCACGCCGCTCCCACTACACCCATTACTCACTACAATCAGCTTCTCCAGCCGCCCCAAGCACGCCAGAGACGGCGGCAGCAGCACCGTTCTGCACCCATCCAGCCTCAGCTCCCGCAGCCCCTGCATCCGCGCCAGGTTCCCCGGCGCCCACTGTAACGCGGTGCACCTGGTTACCACCAGCCGCTCCAAAGCAGCCAGGGCAGTCAGGGACGCAGGGAGCACGCGCAGGGACGTGCAGCCTACGAGAACGAGTTCGCGGAGGAGGGGGGAGGTGCACGGTGGGAGTGGGGAGGAAGGGACATGAGGAGATTTGGTCATGAGAGTGAGATGATTCAGTCTGTCAGTGAGAGTGGTTGGGAGCGGTGCTGAACCGGCTGCTGCTGTTGCTGCATCCAGCCCAACTATCTGACGCTCCTCTTGCCTCTGCTGCCCCTGCTGCCCCTGCTGCTGCCCCCCCTTCTGCTCCTGCTGCTGCCCCTGCTGCTGCTTTTCCTCCACCTGCTTAGCTACCCTTCCTTCCCCTCCAGACGTACCTACGCCCTCTCCCTCTGGCAGGCGCAGAGCCACCAGCTCGCAGCACTCCTCCACCACCAGCCGCTCCAGCCGCGTCATCGCGCGCATCGCTACAGGCAGACCCGTTAACCCCTTACAGTGCCGCAGCTGCAGCTCTTTCAAACGCGTCAGCGCGCCTACAGATTCGGGCAGGCTTGGCGAGCAGGACAGCCCCAAAACGAGTTTTTCCAGCTGCCCGAGGCTCGTTACTGGGTCGGGCAGGCCTAAAAGACTGTCGATGTCTTCTAATTGGAGCTCACGGAGACAAGTGAGCTGGTCTAGGGTTTCGGGAAGAGAGGACAAATTAGGGAGCGAGGCGAGGCGCAGGGTTTTAAGAACGGATAGACGGCCTAGGTCGTCGGGTAGGGACTCTAGACGCGTGCAGTCGGAAACTTCCAGGAACTCGAGCTCGGCCAGGTCGGGCAGGGAGGGAGGGAGGCCGACGAGGCGATGGCACTTGCTGATCTCTAATTCGCGCAAAAGTGGTAATTGTCCGATGTCTTCGGGCAGCAGCGTAAGGTTACCGCATCGGCTTATAACGAGTCGTTCGAGGGAGTGTAGCTGCGGCAGCGAACCGGGCAGTTCGAGCAAACCTCCGCATCCGTCGAGCTCCAATACGCGCAGGCACGGCAGCTGCCCGAGATCGTCAGGCAGCGACGTGAGCCAGTAGCAGGAGCTTATAACGAGGACGTCGAGCAGCTGCAGGTCGCATAACGAATCGGGAAGCTGCTCGAGATTGTCGGATTTCTCGATGCGCAAATGAGTGAGACCAGCGAGGTCGCCCAGAGAGTCCGGCAGGCACGGAAGCGCGTTGCACGACAGCAGCCGCAAATCGCGGAGCGAACTTAATCTCCCCCGGGAGACTTCCGGGAAGAGCTTTAAACTCGGCGCTTCGAGCTGCAGCCGGCGCAGCGCGGAAAGATCAAGGAGCGACGCGGGGAGCAATTTGATGTTGGGCGCGCAGTGCACGCTCACGTGCTCGAGCCGCCTGCATCCGCGAAACACGCTCGCGAGGCCCGCCTCGCTCACCGCGTCGACGAGCGGCGGCCGAACCGGCAACCGAACCTTGCCGAGGAAGAGGTACGTCAGGTTCGGGCATGCCGAGGCTAGGGCGCGTAGGAAGCGATCGTCGATGAAGTCTATCGTGTGGCTGTCGAGGTGCAAGCGAGTTAGGTTCGGAAACTTGCGCAGCGCTAGTTCGAGGCGACGGCAGAGCAGCTCGCGTTTAGGGGAAAAGGAGGCGGCGGAAGACGCGGAGAGGACTGTGAGGGAGGTGAGCGCGAGAGGCGCGACGCGGGACCAGCGCTTGCAGACCAGAGCCGCTTGGTACGGTGTGCGACAATCGCTGGTGTTTATATCGGATGTGCTTGTATCGGATGCGGTGGGATTGGCGGAGAGGACTAGGCGGAGGATGGAGGTGAGAAGATCGTCGGAGAGGGAATGGATTGGCGAGGCGGAATCGTCGTCCGGAGACTCGGCGACGACGGACGACAAGCGAGAATCCATCGCCTGGCCAATTCGCCGTCGCTTGGTTAACTGCGGCGTCGCCCAGCTGATTTAGGTGTCGCTCGGCTATTTCGGGCGTCGCTCGGCCTGCTCTCTCGTGACTACCTGAGCAAGCCTGGGCAAGGCGAGAGGCGAGAGCTGGGAAGCGAGACGATGCCTGACTTCACATACGACTTAGTGTCGCGTGCATGTGGGAATAGGCTATTTGTCTGATGAGGCCTCACTGCGCCATTGTGAATGGCTATGGAATGGAAAGCTGTCCGTTACACACATCTGTACGGTTCTGTGCTGGTGTGATGTGATGTGAAGTGAGGGCGTATCCAGGTTCGGGTCATGAGCACTGTTCTGGCTACTGTTTGGGTCATGCGGGATTTGCGCATGACCCGAAGTGGGCTGCCGAGCCGCGCGCGGCCCCAGCTTTGGGTCAATGTGCAGGTGTTGTGCGACTTACGTGCACGACCCACCCACAACCAATCACCTGGTTGCACGATTGTGGTGTTACTCCCATCTTTTTGTCATTCGGCAGTCGAGTGTCACACGCGGGCAGTGTCCCACGTCTTACACCTTTGCACCCAACCACTCGGCAAATCGACCCCGAGTGTGTCTAAAATTTCTCGCGTCGTGCTCCCAACATTTGGGAATTCGCTCCGGAAATTTTGACGGATGTGTTTTCTCAGTGAGTGTCGCGTGGTTTTGTGTGGGTCTCGCTAATGACCTTTCGAAATGTTCTGGCATCCCTCCATTGGATGCGACTGTTGTGGGGAGCTGGATTTTGGCGCGAAAACCCTCGCGGCAATTTGTGGGTCGCATGACTCAAACATGCGTTTTATGTTGTTTGGGTCATCCGCAAATCGCGCATGCCCGGAACAGTGCTCATGACCCGAACCTGGATACGCCCTGAAACTGCTCAACGGCCAGCAGCAATGTCGTAGCGGCGCAGCGGCGGGGGAAGCTAGCGGGGAGGGCGGGAGAGGGATGGGGCGGAAAGGGATGGGCGGGGAGGACGGGAAGAGGAGGGGGGAGGGTGGGCGGAGAGGTTGGTGGATGGGGGCACCAGGCAGCGGTGGCGCTGGGCTCTCGATACTGTCTCTGGGTGATGGTTGGGCCGAGCTGAATGTGATGCGTTTTCGATTCGAAAGTGGACTCAAAGGTGTTGTGAGTTGTAAAAGGGATTTCTGTAAAGGATTTTTCAGCATTCCTTCACGACCTCATAAAGGTTCGGACAGTCATCGCACAGTAACGAACTGTAACATACAGGAACATAGAAGTAAACGATTTGACCGTTTATAAACGCACGAAGGTTACTTGCTAGGTCTACACCTGATGCCCACCCACTGCACGCGAAATTGCCTCGCACCTGACGGAAACCTTGCACCTGTGGGTTTTGTGCCGTGAGGAAGCACCCACGTTACAAGCACGTTGACCAATCCAAACCACAGAAACTGAAGTCTGACTGAAGAGACTGCAGTCAAACAGTCAACGGTGAGTTACAAAATTTTGTTATAAGCCCTTTTTGCCCGAAGCGAATTGACGAAACCTCCACGAAATGCAAGAGTCGTTTATAAGCCCAGAGGGTAACGACGTGTTGCGACCCACCCGGGTCGGGTCGGGTCGACCAGGCCGGGTAGACCCGACCCGACCCAACCCAACCAAAAGGCGACTCGAGAAAACAAAGAATTTCCCGTTGCCTTCTCAGCAAATTCGAAGTAAAGAGAAAGCAAGTGCTCCGCAGGTGGAAGGTGGGCGAGGCAATGTTTGGCGATATTACCGGGTATCTTTTTGTTAAACGAGATGCAGGCGACATCCACGCGAGAACTACAAATTTCGCAAGCTCGGGTAACCTGCTCCAGCTCGGTTGGGTTGGGTCTGGTCGGCCTGGTTGACCCGACTTGGTCGACCCGGGTTGGCCCGGGTCGACCCAACCCGGGTTGGGTTGGGTCGGGTCGACCTGGTCGGGTAGGTCGGCAGTGCGGGCTTCCTAGAAATTCGGGATCGGGGGATGGTCGACCCGACCCGGGTGGGTCGCAACACGTCGTAAGGCAAGGTCGGGGGGCTCAAACAGGCATCATGTGTACACGATTCCAAATTCCGGCGCTTTTCCACAAATGCTCCCATCCACATACCACACGCTTCGAGCTAATCTAACCTAACCCGACCTGGAGAGACCCGATGAGGTTGGTTCGGGAGGCGTGTTCTATCCCCTCCTTATCCAATTTCCTCCTCTTCCCCCTCCCCCACCACCTCCCGCACCGCACTGTCCACCCCGTCAGCTCCACCCCGTCGAGCTCCTACCCTCGCTACAACCCAGCAGCAACTTTCCAGCAGAGTCACTCAGACTTACAACTCGAATTTGGGCCGATGCCTCCGCGATGACTCATCGGAACTTTTGTTCACCAAGTTTTGACCCGCCAGACTCTCCTTTGTCAGACGACGATTTTGCGTCCGCACGCCAATGCGTTTTCCCGCCGGGCGTGCAGCCGCACGCTCTAATCTCGGAGCCTGGGTTCTCCTCCTCGCAGCCCTCACGCTCACTGTCGGCGCTGCTGCTTGCTCCCTTTCCAGCGCTACTAGTAGTAATCGCCCACCGCCGCGGCGAGATGCCCCACAGCAGCTTCTGTCCAAACAACGCCTGCTGTCTCGCGCTCGGCCCAGCCGCGCCCAACGCTCTCTTTTGAAGCTCGCCGCGCCTACCGGCGGCGCTGCCGCGGCCGACGCGAGCGTTGGAATCGTTCTCGAAAGCTCGCAATGTGAGTCAGTTTTTCCAGTTCAGGCACTCAGAGAGCTTCCTCACTCAGAGAGCTGCCTCACTCTGAGAGCTTCCTCACTCTGAGAGCTCAGCGCGCTTCCTCACAGCGCGCTTCCTCACTCTGAGAGCTCAGCGAGCTTCCCATTTCGAATGAAAGTCCGGAGTCCGCGCCTCAGACTCCACTTCTCATGAGCAGAGAGAGAAATTGCGCGCGCTCGGGCTGCCCTTCAAAAGTGCGACGTCAGGGCAGGCCGGCTGTCCGGGCGCACGGCAGGCCAGGCGGGAAACAGGTGGCCTGGCGCATGTGTCGGCAGTGAAGCCGCCGCCCCCCCTTTTTTTTTTCTTGTGGTAAATCTGCTCCCATTTCCCCGTTGTATCGACAGTGAGGGTGCTGCTGCAGCTGAAGGAGGCGTTGGGCGTGTGGGTGGGCAACAGCAACGCCACCACGTTGTGCTCTGCATGGACTGGTGTCACCTGCAGCCCCAAAGGGCTCGTCATTGCCCTGTGAGAATGATGACCGTCGCCACTCGCTCCTGGTTGCCGATTTTTTTTGTTTGCCCTTTTTTTATATGTCCTAATTGCCTCTCGTTGCTGATTGTTCGGCTGTGGTATATGGCATGGGCGTTGTATTGCTTTTTATAACCTAGGGTTCGAATCCCAACTAGCCAAGTTTTTCCCCTGAAATTGTGGTGGACCAATAACTGGAATGTGGTAACCGAACTTCGAGGTAGTCTAAGGGGCCGGACGTTTCTATGCCTCACGGTACTCCGTCATTACTCCTCATTGGTCCTCTGACCTCTCCTTTCCCCCACAGTGTAGTATCACTGTGTATCACCCTTCCACTGTCTGCTCCTCTTGCAATGATCGTGTTGGATTGTGTGTGTGCGGGAGCATTGCAATCCGGACAATGGGGGGGGGATGGGTCGAAGGATGTGGGGGGTGGGATGGGGGAGGACTGGATATTTGGGGAAGGGAACTGGGGTGGGCGGGAGATGGGGGAGGAATGGGAGCTGGTTGGTATTGCGTGCGTCCATGCATTCGTGTGTTGGCAGGAATCCAAAGCTAATACGGCCTAATTGGGATTTCCCCCCTCACTCCATACCTGCCTCCATCACCGGTCTTTCCACTTTGCAACTCCTGTGCGTCACCACCCACCCACCCACCCTCCCACCCACCCTCCCTCTCCCTCCGCTACATCCATCTTGCATGCATTGCATCTATCTACCAAACCTTTCCTTAGTTTGCCGTGGCCTCGCCCCAACCTCTTACTGCTCTGTCCTTCCATCTCGTTCTCGCATTCACATGCCACAACTGACCATACCCTCTTCCCGCCCTTGCATGCCTCCCTTGCGCACTAGCCACACCACAAGCTGCAAAACTTCAATGCCAGCCACAACTTTTGAGGCGCCTCAAAATATACCTGTGCAAAGGGGCGAGCCGAGTAATGCTCGACTCGTCCCTAGCATTGCTCGGCCGAGTTTCGAGCCGAGTCGAGTAATACTCGGCCGAGTTTTTTTCCCCCAAACCGAAACTCGTTACTCGCCCTTTGAAAGGAAACTCGGGCGAGCATTTAGCAAAGCTCGCCCGAGTACGAGTAATGCTCGGCCATGTACCCTATACCTGCATACAACGCCTTTGTACATAATAACTAATGAAGGCCATTGCAACCACGGACGCCAAGGTAAACATGCTAAGCGATCAGCTAGGTTCTACGTTGACTAGTTTACAAAATTAGGTAAGAAATTGAGTGCGGTAGCCCACCCTGTCGAGATGTGGGGGGTTGGGGTGGATTGAGAGATGTGAGTCGCGTCAAACTGTTTCGCGAAAACAATTCGCAAACACTTTCTCGATCGCAGGTGATTCGTCGGCAAAGCACGACAAATTTCACCCTGTCGGCAATTTCGCGAGCGGTGGATTTCGTTGCGGTTGGGTACAAATGCGTTTCTCATATCTGTACCCAACCTAACCTTTCTCGCAAATTTGTCAATTAGGGTTACGGGACGAGTTTTGCGTATGCTCGTCGAAATGTCCCCGAGTACTCGGCGAGCATAAAAAACTCGCCGAGTAAAACTCGCATCGGCTCGGGCGAGCAATTCCAGCCAAAAAGCATACTCGTTACTCGCCCCTAGACGAGTTACTCGAACGAGTCGATGCGAGTAACTCGCCCGGATGCACAGGTATACCTCAAAGCTGCAAAACTTCAATGCCAGCCACAGATCTCAAGGCTCCATTTTACCACTGCTGATCTCAGGCT